GAACTGTCGGCTCTGAACCACCTCATTTCTCCTTTCAGGATCAAGCACCCCAACATTGTAGCCCTGGATGACATCTACGAGAGTGGGGGACACCTCTATCTCATCATGCAGCTGTGAGTGGCCCCGAGTAAGCCCTTCTCACACCCGTCCCTGCTGCCCCCTCCCTGGTCTCTCTGCATCCACCGCTGTCTTGGCCAGACTGCCCTGTCCCTGGCTGCAGGGTGTCAGGCGGTGAGCTGTTTGACCGAATTGTGGAAAAAGGCTTCTACACGGAGCGGGATGCCAGCCGCCTCATCTTCCAGGTGCTGGATGCCGTCAAGTACCTGCATGACCTGGGCATCGTACACCGAGACCTCAAGGTGGGTGTGAGGATGTGTGGGGAGCTAGGGCACCCAAGGGTGGGGCCTCCACAAACTTCTGTGACCTTGGGTACCTCTCACCCCCTTGCTGAGCCTGGCCTTTCTGTCTGACCTCGTAAGCCCTAAACTGCTTCCTGCCCATTCCAGATGAACACAAAGGTGATTATCCCAGTAACATCTTAGGTTTTTCTGATAATACAACTCCCACTTGCTCTTTGTAGAAAACTTGGATGACAGCACAACACAAAGAAAGCCAGAAATCCCCAAAGCCCTACACCTCAGAGATGATGATGAGGTGCATGTTTGGTGGTACACCGCACTCTGCTCTAGGAGGAGAGCACTGGGGTGAAATAGAGCTGACTTTGAATTCTGGCCCAGCCACTGCCTAACTATAGATCCCCTACTGCAAGTCACTTTGCCTCTCAAGGCATCTGTTTCCTCATCTGTAGAGAGGGATTATTCACAGTGGCCTGGCAGGGATGTGGTAAGGATGAACTGAAATCAAGCACAGCACAGGATCTGGCACATAGTAGGTGCTCAAAAATTCTTCAGGGCTTCACAATACACACCTGAGGTTTATAGGAGATACCCCCATACCCCCGAGGTCCTTGTCCTTTTTGGAACTTCTAACTTCCTTGAGAACCTCCTTGAGTTTCTTGTGCCTCCAACCAAGATGGCAGCTGTAAAACTACAGTGGCTTTTTCGGGGGTGCTCATTGGGGTATTTGTGGAGGCAGAAGCTTCTGCTAGCCTCTGACCATTTCCAACCCTCCTTTCCCTCCCCTTCCACCCTCCAAGCCAGAGAATCTGCTGTACTACAGCCTGGACGAAGACTCCAAGATCATGATCTCCGACTTTGGCCTCTCCAAGATGGAAGACCCTGGCAGTGTGCTCTCCACTGCCTGCGGGACCCCAGGATACGTGGGTGCGGAGGGCCCTGGTCTGGGGCTGGGCAGGGAAGAAGCGGGAGCTGCAGGGCAGAGATTTGTTAACACCATGTCCCGTTCCCTCCACAGCCCCTGAAGTGCTGGCCCAGAAGCCCTACAGCAAGGCCGTGGATTGCTGGTCCATTGGGGTCATCGCCTATATCCTGTGAGTGGGGCCGTGGCTGTTACAGATATGACTCCAGACTTCTCCTCACCCCTACTTTGCTCTCTTCTTCCTCTGTGCCATTTCTTCCTTCCTGCCTCCATATTTATCTCTACCAGTTAATGACTGTATTATTTCACTCAGTAGAGACTATGTTTCTGGCCACTGTGGCCAAGCACTGGGGATTGAGCAGAGAACAAAAGCGACCAAGTGCTTGCCCTCAGGGAGCAAACATGCTAGTAGTGGGGAGACAGAAAATAAACAAGTAAATCTGTAAAATAATGGCAGGTGGTGAGACATGTGTGAAGAAAAATCTAGCAGGGTAGGGAGATGGATGGATGCTGTTTTAGATAAGGTCAGGAGCCTCTCTGAGGAGGTGGCCTGAGTGGCATCCAGAATGAAGTGAGGGAGCCAGACACTCAGTGTTCGGGGAGAGTGGCTTAGAGAGAGCACAGAGCAAGTGCAAAGGCCCTGAGGAAGGACAGATGGTGGCACAGTATGGAGTAGAAAGCCAGTGGGGTCAAACAGGAGTGAGCAAGGCAGAGAGCTAGATCCCCCACTTTGTAGAAGGGGAACTCCTTCCTGGGGGTCCTGTCTGAAGCTCAACACTGCACCAAAGCTCCATCTGGGAGCCAATGTGTACACTGACAGTGGAAATGAGAATGAGTTTCTCCCTGCCCAGGCTCTGTGGTTATCCTCCCTTCTATGACGAGAATGATGCCAAACTCTTTGAACAGATCTTGAAGGCTGAGTACGAGTTTGACTCTCCTTACTGGGATGACATCTCTGACTCTGGTATTTGGGGCTTTGCTTTCTTCCCCTGATCTTACCTCCAGTGCCTGCTTCATCTGCTTGGGTGGGGGGTTGGAGAGGGGGCGTGGGGGAAGGTCTCCTCACTTCACCAGATTCCCCAGCCCCAGATTAAGCACTGAATTTAAGACCAGACACCTCACCCTGGGTGCTTTTCTCCGCCTGGCCCCTGGTCAGACCTAGTATTTTTCAGACTACCTCCCCACACTGATTTCCTAGTACCTAAAACAACATCATTAATGTTTTCATCTGTCCTTTTGTGCCTCCAGTTAGGTGGCAAAGCTGTGAAGCCATTATCAATCATTTACACGTCAGTGTGAATCTTCTCTAAGAACAAGCTGTTCTTAAGGGAGAAAGCTGGAGAGCTGGGTTTGGTTGGGGGGCCTAGAGAAAGAGTACAGGTGGGGTGGGACAGTGCATGGACAGATCTGGCTTTGATGCCAGGCCAGACCTGAGGGGGTGGGTTCTACTTTGGGGGGGTTCTCAGGCACTGCCATGCTGTCTTTGCTCTTGTCTGGGGGGCTCAGCCAAAGACTTCATCCGGCACTTGATGGAGAAGGATCCAGAGAAGAGGTTCACCTGTGAGCAGGCCTTGCAGCACCCCTGGTGAGAGATCCCACAAGCCTCGGGCTAGGATGGGGTCTGGGGCCCCTAGGCCTGCCTCTCCCTTCACTGACAGCCCTCTACACATACCTGTCGTAGGATTGCAGGAGATACTGCCCTAGATAAGAATATTCACCAGTCGGTGAGCGAGCAGATCAAGAAGAACTTTGCCAAAAGCAAGTGGAAGGTGAGCCCATGACCCCCATTTAGCCACCAGCTCACACCAAGTGGGACACTTAGTAAATGCTCAGGGATGCTTACTGAAGGGTCTCATTCATTCATGTGATGCTGTGACACCTACTTTATTCCAGTGATGGTCCCTGATCTTCAAGACTAGAGGGAGAACAGTGTATGCTTCTCAAGGAGACATAATCCAAGTTATGGGGTCCTGGAAGGGGCGTAAAGTGGTCATGGCCTGACAGGCTGGTCAGGCCTGAGAGCAGAGTAGGAATTAGCCTAGCACAGAAGAATACGGTCTGAGGCAGAGGGAACCAGGGTGCAAAGGGCCAGGAGAAGAGAGTACAGCCATTTGGGCAGTGCAAGTGCTAAGCCTGGAGGGACTGAAGGGGCTGCAGGCGGCTGAAGACAGGTCGGGGCCAGGCTGCCTGGGGGCTCAGGTCCCACAGTAGAGCACTGACTTGATGTTAAGGATGCTGAGGAGCTGCAGAGGATTTTCAGCTGAAACTTGACCTTTACAAGGGGCTCTCAAGATGCTGAAAGGCAGGGTGAAGGCCGGGAGACCCTTTAGGGGACTGTGGCAGACATGCGGTCAGGAGGCAGTGAGGGCTTGAATCAGAGCAGCGACAGTGGGAACAGAGAACACTGGACTAGGAGTCGTCTGGGAGGCAGAACTGACCAGAAGTGATGTTAGAATGGATGCTGGAAGAGAGAGGAGGAGAGGTCCAGGGCTTGCCCAAGAGTTTGGTTGGGGACAAGGTGGATGATGGTACAGATGGAGATCCTGGGGCCAGAAACTTGTTTTGGGGGAGATTTCGATTTAGGACATGGTAAATTTGACAGACATATCAGTAGACAGGTTGAACAGAGAATGATACACACCTGGGCAAGTCATTTAACCTCTGTGCCTGTTTTCCTCCTTTGACAATGCTGACACCAATAGTGCTGACCTCAAAGACTTTCGGGAAGATTAAATGATCTATTAAGTGTTTAGAACAGTATCTGACACACAATGCTATACAAAGTGTTGACTATTATGTGAATGTGAATTATATGAAAAATTATACATGTCTACATATATACATTTTATATCTGTGTGTGTATGTGTGTATAACTATATAATATGATTGAGTATAATTTAATGAAGTCTTGTAGAGGTTTCAGGGGGTTTTAGGGATCAACCAATATCACTTGAATGAAAATAACAGAACTGCTATTAAGAATTCTAGCGCCAGACCCTGCCCCACGATCTCCTACTGTCTTAAAAGTCCCTTCTGCCTTTCTCCACAGCAAGCCTTCAATGCCACAGCTGTGGTGAGGCACATGAGGAAGCTACAGCTGGGCACCAGCCAGGAGGGGCAGGGACAGACAGCGAGCCGTGGCGAGCTCCTGGCACCAGCAGCCGGGGGTGAGGACAGGGTTCTGTGCAAGGGCAGGGGAGGTCCGTGGAGAGCGGCCCAGCTGGAGTGGAGGTCTGCTCCTGTGATCAGCTCTGCTTTCTCTTCCCATGTAGGGCCGGTGGCTGGCTGCTGCTGTCGCGACTGCTGTGTGGAGCCCAGCCCAGAACTGTGCCCCTCTCTGCACCCCCAGCTCTAGGGGCCTGGATCCAGGGTCAGGATCTGCTGTGCAGGAAGGGTTGGGGATGGCCTGCTCTCCCTCCCTCCCTGAACTGGGGAGGTACCCTGCCCACCCCCTCCACACCCCTTTCCGTACCACCCCTCCACTGCATTTTCCATACAAATATTTCTATTTTATTGTTCCTTCTTATAATAAAGGGAAGAGATCAAAACCACAGGCAGCTCTGTCTCCTCAGACAACCTATACCCCACATGGTGGTGCAAACTGCTTGATTTGAGGGTGCCTGGCCCCTGAGGTAGTTGCAGGAAGTCCGCTCTCCAACATGAGACTGGATGGGGGCGGGCAGGAGGGAGGGGTGTTCGGGGATCCCTTTCTCCGTGCCCCCCTAGCCTTCTGGCCCTGGGCACCTCCTCCTGCGCTTTGCTGGTGGTTCCTCAGCTCGGTGAAGTTGGCGCAAGTCAGCACTGAACAGCACCTGGGGCGGGAGGGGTGAGTGTCTGAGTGGGGGCGGTGCACGGCTCAGGACTGGTGGGGCAGTGTGGGCAGCTGGAAGGGTTCATGGGTGGAGGGTCCCTTAGGGTCAACTGGGACAGCAATGGAGGTAGAGGAAAATAGGTCAGGGCCAGGGAGAAGTCCTATGGGGTCTGGACTGGAGATGGAGGGGAAGCCTAGGTACACTCACTGCTTGGGCCCAGCCAGCATAGGGTCCCCACAGGTTCCGGAAAAAGTTACCTAAACCAAAAAAAAAAAAATTACCTAAACCAGAAGTGGTGAGGTGACGTTAAATAGCCCCTTGTGCTCCCTAGCCACAAGGGTGGGGTTTTAGGGAGAGGTGTATTTCTTTCTTTTTTTTTTTTTTTTTGGTTATTTATTTATTTATTTATTTGAGAGGTGTATTTCTACCACCCCAGCCCACACATCCCAGCCCTGACATCCCACTCTCTCTCCTTACCCAGTTCCTTGTTGGCCTGGGGGCTCGGGCCCTTGGCCTGGCTGGTGGTTGGGTGCCAGCTGTAGTCACGCTGGGCAATCTGCCACACGTGGACATCCACGGGCACAGCCTGGGGTTTGTCTAGCGCCATCAGGCAGATGCAGTCGGCCACCTTTGACAGACAGAGAGTAAGCCACAGTAAGCCACAGAGGGATGGCAGGGTCCAGTCAGCAACCTGCTTCTAGTTCCAAAGCCAGAAGCTTCCTTCTGTACTCTGAGGACACTCTTACTGTATTTTCTATTAATAATTTAAAAGACAGCTGTGATGAGAGTGCTACTGGGTAAACATCTTATGTGTGCCAGTTTCATCATAACCTGAAAAGAAGGTTTATTGTAGACAAGAAAACAGGTCCTGAAAGGTGAAGTGATTTGGACAAAGTTACACAGACAGGGAGACTCAGAACCAAGATTTAATGTTAGGCTGGAGTTCAGAGCCCATTAAAAAGAATAATTTAAATAAAAATTCATTTTTAAAGTTCAGAGAAATATAAAAAGGAAAACAATAAATACCAAATTTCCAATCATCTTTCTGATACCTAACCGTTCTTGATATTAAACAAGAAGGTCTATTATCCTTTAATAAAAAATTTTTTTAAAAAGTTCTATAAGTACATATAATTTTAAGGGAAGAACAAAATGAAAAGTGGCAGGCTTCCCTGGTGATCCAGTGGTTAAGACTCTGAGCTCCCAATGCAGGGGAAATGGGCTCAATCCCTGGTCAGGGAATAAGATCTTGCATGTCACACGGTATGGTGTTTAAAAAAAAAGTTGGAAACATCATCTTATTTGTCTCCCCAAAGGTAACCACTATTGAGTTTCCTATGATTCCTTCCAGAAATTTCTGCACACATACGACAGTGTGTGTATGTACCTGAACAAATGGTTTTTCTAAAAATGCATTCAAAGAGCAATGTCTTTTATACCCTTTCTGCATTCTACATTTTCTCTAATAAAACATCTGCTGGGGAAAAAAAAAAACATCTGCTGGTATCCTTTCTCCCTCCCACTCTGCCTCCAGAAGCCAAGCCCACACCCAGCTCTCAGGACTGCATTGTCTCCTCCTCTGCTACTCTCTTCATGGGTAGTTAGAGTAGCTTCTACCCACCCCCTTCAACCCTGGGCCTCACCTTGGTGCCTACTCCAGGCAGAGTGCAGAGGGCCTTGTGGGCCTCCTCATAGGGGGCCTTGCGCAGCTGCTGCAGCCAGGGAAGTCCACCCCGTTCTTCCAGGATGGCTCGGGCACTAGCACTCACAAAGCGGGCACGGTACCCCAGGCCCAGATTCCTGAGCTCAGCTTCCACCTCTGGCCCTGTGGGGGAGTGGGGAGAACAGGGGTCAGACATTCTCAAATCCTTCCTGTCATCAGGCTAGTGTGTGAGCCCTGCAAACGACAGGTATGCTTTCCCTAAGTACCCTTCTCCTACCTTGCCATCCTCTGGGAGACCCCAGGACACTTGCACACACAAAGGAAAGAGTTAAGCCTGGGTTCTGCCCCTCTACAAATGTTTCTGAGCACTATGTGCTGTGCACTGGAGCAGGGATTGAGAAGGACTTGCTGTCGTGGAGGAACTCCTCAGTTGAGTTCTTTAACCTTTCCAAAGGGTGTGAATTCATGAATTCACATTCATGATCCAAAATAATACATAGGGCTTCCCTGGTGGTCTAGTGGTTGACAGTCTACCGCCAATGCAGGGTACATGGGTTTGATCCCTGGTCCTGAAAGATCCCACATGCCACAGAGCAACTACACCTGTGTGACACACTACTGAGCCTGTGCTCCAGAGCCGCAGCTACTGAAGCCCACGAGTCCTAGAGCCTGTGCTCCACATTAAGAGAAGCCAGCGCAACGAGAAGCCCAACTAGCCCAATCAAGAGTAGGCCCTGCTTGCCACGAGACAGCCCATGCACAGCAATGAAGACCCGGAGCAGACAAAGATAAATAACCTAAAAATAAATAAAATAATAGTCATAATAACAGGAGCAGCTTCTATTATGTTTTTCTCAAGGACCGTGATGACAATATTACTGTTCTCCCCACTTTACAGATGAAGAAAATGAGTGCTTAGGAGAGGTTAAGTAACTTGCTCAAGAAAGAGCACCGAGCGGGTGCTCTTAACCCACTGCACTGCACTACTTCATGACTGCCTTAGGGAAGGAAAGTCACTCAGTTGTGTCCGACTCTTTGCGACCCCATGGTCTGTAGTCCACCAGGCTCCTCCATCATGGGATTTTCCAGGCAAGAATACTGGAGTGAGTTGCCATTTCCTTCTCCAGAGGATCTTCCCAACCCAGGGATTGAACCCGGATCTCCCGCATTGTAGGCAGACGCGTTACAGTCTGAGCCACCAGGGAAGCTCAGGACTTCCCTGGTGGCTCAGATGGCTGCCTTATTCATGCCTTAAACCCTTCTGGATGGAAACTGTCATTCCCATTCCACAAACAAGAGAAGCTTGGAGAAGTGAATGAATTCCCAGAGGTATTATGACTACTAAGCTGGAAGCTGAGAGCCGAGATGGGTTTTCTAAGCACTCAGAACATCCTGTTTTCTCCAGCGGGGGCTGTGTCTTTGCCATGCAGGCACTAAGCACTTCCTCCAGCCTGGCTCTCATATCTGCCAACTGATGTACTGGCCTCTGTAAACTACTTCCCTCACAGCGCTCCCATGAAGAACATGTGTGTTTTGGGATACAGAATTGTTGGGTTCACAGCAGAGATAACAATTTGAATTTTCTGCTTTCTTCCTATATGCCAAACACTACGCTAGGTGCACTGTGCATTCCTTTACTCATCCCTCATGAAACTCTGATAGGTTGGAGCTATTGTTATCCCATTCAATGGATTAAGAACGTGAGGCACAGAGAGGCTACATAATGAGCTCAAGATCATATAGACAGAAGTCAAGTGCCAGAGCTGAAATTCAGACCCAGGCAGGCGATCTCTAGAACATGTATCTTAAGCCCAAACTACTGTACACTGTATACAGATGTCTTCTGATGAGCCATTGAACTCATGCACAAAAAGCACAGACTACTGAAGTGCTGACATTTCAGGGACAGGGAACATGAGGTATAACTGAGGCTGACCAGACCAGGCAGGGTGGTTTTGGATGAGGGCAGTATTTTAAAAGGCAGGAAGCTGTGAGATGGAAAAAAGGCATCAGGGGAGAACTCAACAGACCCTGAAAGCTGTTCTAAGGCCTGGAGGCAGGGACCCAGCTACTCACCAGCCAGGGCCTGCAAGCTGGGGAAGCCATGGTAGGTGACATCATCAAGCTGCATGAGCCGAGGTCCAAAGGTCTGGCAGAGCCGTTCCACCATGCCAGTGATGCGGGCAATGTTGTTGTTGGAGGAACAGATGAAGGAGAAAAGGCATTCAGTGGGGTCCAGTTGCAGGAGTCGCACACCTGGGGACCAGAAAGGTAGGCAAATGAGAAATTACCTGCTGTTGATAGTGAGCTCTTCTTACCCTCAGATCCTAGGCTCCAATGGGAGCCTAGGGGAATGAGGGACAGCATTATTAAAGACAGTAACAATGGAGCTCTCATTCTTTGTAGCATCTTGTGAGGTCCGTGTTATCATCCCATTCCACAGACAAGAACACACAATGTAAGCACTATGAGGTTGGGGATTTGTTTTGTTCACTGTGGTATTCCCAGTCACATAGGTGATGCTCTGTAACATTTACAGAATGAACGATGTCACCAGCCCAAGATCACACAGCCAGGATTTGGCTCAATATTCCCATCACTCCACTATAGTGGTCAGCAGGACATTAACAGTAGTAATAATAATTACTGTGTGTCAGGCACTATTCTAGGCACTTTATATGTATTAGCTTCTTTAATCCTCATAAAATTCTGAGGTAGATATAATCCCCATTTTACAGATGGTGAAACCTAGTAAATTAACCAAATCACAAGCAACCCAACCTCTGCCTCAGGCTCTGTACTCACCCTTGAATTTCTGAGCCACCTCTTGAAAGTGAGGGTCCACAGAACTCCAATGTTGATACAGTGGAGCAAGGCTGACATCCAGCTGGAAGTACTGTCGCACGGCCTTCAGCTCTTCCCGTGTGGGCCTGCCAACCCTGCCCTTGTCCCCTCGGTACACAGTGCAGTAAAGATGCTCCTCATTCTGGGTCAGGGTCCATACCTGGTCGGCCAGCACGCCACTCCAGTGCGCAGGGCTTTGCTCCCTCCACCTGCGCCCCCAGGCATACGGCAGCCCTAGCACTCAGTGCCCCTTTCTGCACCCTTTGGGGCCCTCCTATCCTATAACTGCTCTATATACAAAACTGACTCACGAACTGCAAAAGACAAGTGCTTTCTTTTACATCAATTACATTATGTAATCCTCGCAAGAGCACCGCGCAGGCTAATTATTTCCACCTTATAAAGGAGTTAACAGGGTCATCACTCGTGCTTCGGTCTCTTTTGTACCCTTCCTTCACCCCCAACGTTCCTTTGCACCCAAGGCCTGCGGTGCTGAGGAGCCAAGAGCCAGGGTCACTCACCGGAAAGACTGTCCAGAAGCCAGAACCAGGTCCAGGCGTAGTTCAGAGCGTGGACAGGGGATGGAGGCCCACAGGGCCGGGAAGGAGGCTAGAGTGCGATGCCTCATGCTACCCGGCAGAAGGGAGATGCCTGACATTTCCAGCCAGACCCCGCCCCGCGATGGTCCGGCTCACTCGGAAGGGGCTCTACCTGTCAAAAGACCTCGCCCCAAAGACCATGCCTCTCAAGGGCTCACCCACCAAATCCTAGCCTCTTAATTTAAGGCCCGCAGTTTTATTTAATTTCTCCACTCCGCGCAGGCCCTGCTCCCTCAACCCTTCTTCCCTTTCATTCTGTCTCGACCCTCCCGCACTTCATAGCCTTTAGGCACACCACCCAGTCCCTCAAACTACAGGGACTTTATGAAGCGCGCGCTAACGCGCTCTTCCGCTTTCCCTGGGGGCAGACCGCTCTCACCGGAAGGAGGGCTCAGGCCAGGCTAATTAGACCCAGAGGTAACCAATCGGCGGAGTTAGGAGGCGCCAATGAGATTCTGGCGTGGCGGCGAGTGGGCGGGCCTTTCTAGGCTCTGCAGCGGTTGGCGCGCGCTGGGCTCGCTGCCCGCTGTTGGCCATTCCTCTGTGGGATTTGTCTGCACTCGGCACGCCGGCGCGTCCCATCCCCGCGCTCCGCGGCCAAGACGCACAGTGCGCCCTCAAGCTACAATCCTCAGCGCCTGATTTCTTCCGAGCCCTGCGATCCCTCAGGGCCTACCCGCCCGCAGAACCAAGTGCTATCCCCTGGCATCCTTAGGGCCTTTCTCAACGAGCCTTTTCTGGCTGATCCTCGCTTTCATCAGTCTGCCTACCCTGAATCCCCCTCACCGAGAATCGTGCCCGGATCGCAGCTCCGGGCCAGCCGAGCCCGAGATGTCTCTACAGCGTCTGGATCCCGAGGAATCTGCCTACTCCCTCGCTCTCTGAGTTTCTGCCCTCTTAAGCGCTTGTTCCAGAGCCTCGACACCGAACAATCATAGGCCTCACTGACTTCCTCATCAGAGGCCTGTCTCCTAGGATTCTGCGCGGACTGTCCCATCTGGCGTCACCCGCCACCTGAAAGCCCTACCGAAAGGGGCCTCTGTAGGCCCCCTCCAGGACTGTGCCCAGCGACCCAGAGAGGCCCCGGGACCACTAACTCTGTGGCCCTAGGGCAGCCCCGTTGCCAGGGCCGGCTGCCTAGTCCAGGGAAGATGTAGCAATATAACTTCTTCCCTCCTGGAGACTCAAAAACCACAGACAAGAACTGTATTTGGACGGTTTCTCCCCTTCTAGCATAGTGATTCTTGGTTATTGTATCTGAATGATCAGCCTGCAGATTCCTTAACGGACAGACTGGCAGCTGATTCGTCTGTCTCTCCCACACAGGATCTAGCAGAAGGCTGTAAGCCTGGTAGCCTCTCAGCTCAGTAGCTGCAAGACCCTGGGGCTGCTTCCTGTGCTCGCCTCTTCTGTAGGACACCAGGCCTCAAATGCCTAGCACTTCAGAGGGCATTCCTCCAGTCAGTGTTTGCAGCGGAAGAGGTGTCAAGGTGGGGAATGAAGAGTCAATCTGCACTCCTGCTCAGTCCCTAGCTAAACAGGGGAAGGTCACAGCTATAGTGACTCTGAAGAAGTACTTGGACCATCCAACGGGCAAAGGACTTGAAGCATCTGCAGTTCAAGAAGGCATGGGCACTAAACTCTTCCCTTCCAGCAGTTTGGCATACAGAAGCTGCTTTGCAGACAGGCTTTTATTCAAATCCTAGCTCTGCAGCTTCCTTGTTGTGGGAACTTAGGCAAGTTACTTAATTTTTCTAAACCTTGGTGTCTTTATGGAAATAACCATCCTGTTAACTTTCCCCATAGTTATTGCAAGGACTATACAAAAGTGTGGATCTAAAGGTGCTTCAGCACAGAGTCTACCACTCAGTGAAATACACAGGGAATGGGAGCTGTCATATTATCTTTGTCTTACAAATGCAACAGCCAGCAACCACTTGAGCCCAATTATTTCCCATCCCTGAGGGACAGAGCCTCCCTTTTCATCCCTTTGCCCTGGCAGAAGGCAAGAACCAAGAATTCCAAACAGACCATTTATTTTCTAAGAATCAATATATTTTCTTCCTTTGAAATAAATACAAACCAGTTTGAAAGGTGGGGGAATCTATGGGAAGAAGGGAAGTGGGGACAGGCCCCAGTCTTTTTTTTTTTTTAGTACCAAATGACTCTGGCGCGACCCGGAAACGCAGTTACAAATGAGAATAATTTAAATTCTCCGCTAATTACAGTATTTACAACAGCAGGGGAGGGGGTCACCTAGTGCCCCTCTTCCGGGCTGGACAGACATCAGTCCCACTGCTAGGCTGGGCGGATGCCCGCTCACCACACCACCGCAGGGGCCTCAGGCCACTAGGCAGTTAGGGACTCTCCCGGCAGGAGTAGGCAGAGGTGGTGGGGTGGCCTGTTTTACACAGTGTCCTAACCTTGGCCCACCACCCTGTGCTACAATGCCGCGAGATCTCGGGAGCTTTCTGGCCTGTGGGACCTCCCCTCTCATTGCGCAGAGCCCCCAGGGGCCCTTGGAGTGTTCTGTACAGTCCAGCTGCACTCAGGGCGGGAGGGACCTCCCCCACCCAGCTTCCCCTGAGACTGGCCCCAAGACCAGGAACGAGTCAGTGCAGAGGCCGGCGCCACTCCAGGACGGTGAGCCACGGGGAGGAGAGGCGGCAGGGCGCTGAAGGCTGGGCTGGGCAGCATCAGTCACTGTCGCTGGTCTCGCTGCTCTGCTCGCCCTGCACCTTGCTGCGGTGCTGCAGGGCCCTGTGGTAGGCTATCTGGACTGACTTGCGGATGTTAGATTTCCGGCCCTCCAGCATCTTCTCCTTGTCAAGGTCCTGGTTCACGCCCAGAGGAACCAGCTTAGTCCTGGGCAGCCACTGCCTGTAGGATGAGACGATGATTAAGAAAGTCATCTCTTATCTCTGGGAGGACAACAAGCATCAGCCTCCCTCACTTGTTGCTTCCTTCAGAAACTCCTAAGTGCCCATTCTGGGCCAGGCTCTGGTAGGAGTTACAGAAACCGAGGGATGCAGTCCCTGCCCTCCAGGAACTGCTCACAGGCTAGTGATGAAAATAGCCCAGTTGACAGCCACACTGGGGGATAACCACAGGGTATTTATGAGTGCAAAAAGGAACCGTGACCTAGCCTGAAATAGATACCTTGTCCCATGGGCTCCAGGCAGACTTAACTGACATTAGATATCTTCCACAGACAATTAACAACAACAACAAACGACTACACTTGTAAATGTGACAGAACAGGGATTCAGAGACCCAGTGATTATGTCTGCTTTATCCCCCACATCTTGTCACCATGGAGGCAGAGGTGGGAAAACTAAATCTAGAAGCCACCTTAGTCTGGATGTGGAGCCACCCCTACATTTTTCACAGTCACTCATGGTCCTCTGTTTTCTAGCTACAGCTGTTTGTCAGCTGCTGCCCACTCAGTCTCTCAGACTCTTGGTCAACACAACCCTTTTGCTCAGCGATCTAAGTCCCTCCCCCACTGATTTATGATCACCCAGGCTGTCAGTGCTGGAGTTTCCTGGCAGCCTGCCCCCAACAGCCGGGGTTGCATCTGTGGCTGTGAGTCACATCAACTGTTCCCCTCCTCCCTTACCAGGTTCTCTTGTTGTCAAAGAAGAGGACGAGGTAGAGATGCTCTCGGGCTTCTTGGGTCATCTGTTCCCCAAGTTTCAGCACCTCCAATGGGGGCACAGGGATGGGAACCCCATGGTGGAACATACCTTCCCGGGGCATCTTTGGATCAATGATCTAAGGGTGTAATAAGACCTTGGTTAGTTCAGTCTCCTCCTTCCCCCAGGCTTACCCTATCCAAGAATTTGGAGACTACCTCTGAAGAGGGGACAGAAAAACGTAATCATCTAACTAGGGTTGCAATCCTGACCCTCGGCTTCTTCCCATGCTGAACTATTTCAGAGCCCAAGAGGTAAAGAGAAGAGAAAGGGATGGATGGAGAAGCTAACGAGGGACCTCTGAGTGACTGTCTGCTAAAGACTCATGCGCTCTGCAGCTCGGCAGAGAGTAGGAGGTCTGCTTTTGAATGTATGTCTTGGGGCTGGAAGACAAGGGGTATGACGAGAAAAGCAGAAGCCTACCAGAGCTGGGTACGATGGATACCCTCGGCATTTGGCCCACACCAGGTCCAGAGCGTCCAGGGGGGAGTCCTCATCCTCTGATAGCCAGCCAGCTCCCCGGCCCAGACTCTTCCTTACAACTTCACAGGAATGGGAGAGAGGGGATGGATCAGCAGCCAGGGGTCTGGCAAGGCCCTGACACCAGGCCCCCAGCACCTCTGGCTTTAGGCGGGTGTACTTACTGCTGTGGCCCACGCCGCGGCCAGTGCCCACGGAGTAGGCCTCATTCTCAGTGCCTGAGGTATCTTCGCTGCTATCCTCTGGGAAAGTGCCCCGAGAGAAGGAGGGCTTGCCCCGGCCTTGTTTTGAAGGCGTTGTGCTGTGGACAAAAGGGATGCTCAACTCAAGAGGAGAGCGAGAGTGGGGAATGGCATGGTGGTGTCTTCTCTTGGCCCCTAAGGTCTAAGACTTTTGGAAAGCAGAGGCTACTTGAATAATTTCAGACTCAAGTGCCCTCAGGGGTTTGGGGGTGATCTGACTGAAGCGGGCTGGATACAGCAGTAGTGATGAGTGTATGCCCCATCTTAAGGCAACAGTGGCCAGAACTGCTAGGTCTGATTTTTAAAGGGAATACAGAAACTGGGAATTTTATGTGGCACTTCTGGGTTTGTTTGTTTTTTTTTTAAATATCATGCTGGCCAAATAAAATATGTCTGTAGGCCAAATCCAGGTCACCACAAATCAGTTTATGCACTCTGTTCTAAGTGAAAAGTGAAAGTGTTAGTTGCTCAATCATGTCCAATTCTTTGCAACCCTGTGAACTATAGCCTGCCAAGCTTCTCTGTCGATAGGATTTCCTAGGCAAGAATACTGGAGTGGGTTGCCATTCCCTTCTCCAGGGGATCTTTCTGACCCAGGGATCAAGCCCGGGTCTCTCACACTGCAGGTGGATTCTTTACCATCTGAGCTACCAGGGAAGCCCTCTGTTCTAAAGCATGAACTTAACCAAGAATGGTCCTCTCTATTTCATTATGGTGACAATCTCATCTGTTCTATTTATTTTGCAGAGAACCTTTGGTCTGAGCCATCTTATTCTAGGTGAAGATGGCTGCTACCACACTCCCCACAGGGAAATCTGGAATGCCGTCCTGGAGGCAGGTTTAAACCTAGAGGGCTGGTACCTGGTCCTGTCGGAGGCAGCACTGCTGCTGCTACTGCTGCTGGATTCTGAGTCTGAGCTGCTCCGAGGAAGGCTGCAGTCGTTACGATACACCAAGAAACTCTTCTTTACTGGCTGGTTTCCACCGCTGAAGCCATTGGCTGGTAAGTCTTGGTTGCGGGTGGGGCAGGAGGAAAGGAATCAGTCAGTAAGATGCAGATCAGAGATCTACCAGGGTAAGAGGGACTCAGAGCTTGGCTTTCCGTTCTGTGCTGGAAAATTCCCCCAACCTTGGCCAGCAGAGCCAGCTCTGTGCAGTGTCCACCACCGCTGGTCACAGCCCTGCACCACCCCTTGCAGCTCACTTGGCAGTTACTAGCCTTAGGACACGAGTGGCTTAAAGGAGATTTCCCCAAGGAGAGTGAGAAGAGAAAAGGTGAAGTGATAAAATGGAGGGCACCCTGGATGGGAATCTGGTTGGGTTAGTGTCTCTGGGCTTCAGTTTCCCCATCTATAAAGTGAGGAGACTGAATGACAGGCTTCCTAAGGGCCCTTCTAGCTCTGATATATTAAGGGCAAATGAAGGGCTAGGTGGGAGTTATACTGGGAAGGAGGGCAGCTTTGCTCACTCTATTGGAGGGGCTGGGTGATGGTGAGGCTCACCCATTGGGGGGTCTTCTGTGGATTTATCACTGTCGCTGTCTGAACTCGAACTGGGCCGAGGGCTCCTACCCCGCTTGCGCTGACGTAGGGAGCCCATGATGGGGAGCTGGGGGGGCCCCACAGGACTGCCTCCGTGGCTGGGGGTCATCTGGCTCTCCCGGTTTTTGGGGGGCCGGCCCGGCCTCTTGGGCGGTCCAGCTGTCTTCGGGTTCTTTTTGGAGAACAGAACTGAGGTTCTCCTGCCCACCTCAAGTGCGGGGGTTGAGGACATGTTGGGACCCAGGCCTGGAGCAGAGAAAGAGAGAAGGAGAGTCGGTGAGGGGCCTGAAGTGGGAAGGGCATCTGTCTACGGTAGGCCCTAGGGATATAGGACATAACTTCAGCTAGAGTAGGGGAGATCGTTTGGGGGGCAGGGAGTTGGGAACAATGTCTCTCACACAAATAGCCAGAGAGAGGCAGCTAAGAGGCCCCTGAAGGGGGAAGGAGGGAGAAAGTTCAGCTAGCTGAGCAGGAGGGACCTCTGCCGGGGGGGTGGCAGGGGCTGAGTGTCTGCTGCAGAGTCCAAGTCTGGCTGCCCTTGGGGTCCATCATGCCATGGGGTTCAGACCTTTGCTTGTCTCCTGGCTGCTGCTCTCCTCGGCGGCACTGTCTGTCTGCCCGTCCTTGTCACAGGCCGCTGGGTGGGGTGTCAGGCTGCCCCGGCTGGAGGGGCCGTGTCGCTCAGGCCCATCCCGTCCAGTCTCCCGCTGGTGGGCAAGCTTCCTCCGCAGTGCCGTCATCTCTTTCTTGATCATCTTGGCGCGCCGAGAGCGGCCCACGCTCTGCTTGCTGGCGTTCACCTCATCCAACCGTTCAAGCAGCAACTTTAGCTGCTCTTCCACTGGCAGGTGCTTCTGGTTCTCTAGCAGGACCAGCCGCTCTTCCTCTGCTGCAGGGGGGTGGGAACAGGGGATGAGAGGTCAGTCTCAGGGCAGCCCGCCGGGCCCCGTGAACCTGGGCAGGCAGCCAGAAAGTCACTCTTCTCCCCTCCGCTTCTCACCGGGAACGGCTGTAAAATAGTAGCACCAAGATGTAGAAAGGCGGGGATTGCTCTCCATTCACCCAGTCTGGCTTCGAGAGCATTCCTGGGGCTAGTTTGCCACTGCTCAGACTAGCTGCTTCCTGCCTACACTGCCTGCTCCCAGGAGGGGACTTTTGGAAAGCTGTTCATCCCTGGCATTGGCCTCTATGTGTATGTGTGACTTATCACCCACCATCTTCGGTGTGGTGTGGGGCCTCGTCTCCAGTCAGGCTGTGGGGGATATGCATGCCCGTCTCAAAGTCAATGCCCATTTTTTCTGCCTGGCGCCGGGCCTGGCGGAGCACCGCGCCACCCTGCTCACGGAGCCGCACTGCTGCCCGGTAGAAGATGGTATCCTTGGCATTATACTTGAGGCAGTTGCTGACGATGAGGTTGAAGTCCTCCTCAAAATCATCAAAGTTCAGGTAGCGGTAAGCCTCCAGGTTCTGCTTCATGGTGAAAAAGTCCATAGGCTTTTTGATGTGGTCGAGGTAGTCAGGTACCTGGAGAACACGGGAGGTGGCTAAGTGGAGGTATGGTCCTCATTCCCCCTGACCCCGTTCCTAACAACCTCCCTTGAAATGCATCCAGCAACCTCCTCCTACTATAGTGAGAGGCAGGTGTATAGCACAGGGGAAAAGAAAGCTGGATTCTAGTCTAGACTTTTCCAGTCACAAGCTCTGTGACCTTGGCAAGCCTCTTAGCCTCGCAGGGCCTTCTTTTCCTTGCTTGGAAAACAGTAATGAAATTATAGCCAAATCCTAGAGCCACATGAGGTCTTAATAAGAAAATGGCTAGGGGGATCCTCTGGAAGTAACACCACCCTGCATTCCTCTAGCTCTTTAGACTTCTCAGTAAGCTGTGTAAGGAGGCTGCTGCCTCAGGCCTCTCATTCTATACCTTTTAGAGAGAAGAGTCTGCCAGGCAGGACCTAGGACTTCAGAGATGGTTCTTTAGGTGCTGAGCCTTCTAAATTCTCCGTTCTAGGGTTCAGCACCCGGAAAGTGTCTTCCTGCCCTGGGCTTATTCACTTGGCAGACTCAGTCCCTGCCTCTGGGGAAGGAGTGCAGACTGCCTCCCATTCTGGGCCCTTGAGGTACGACAGGGACAAGACAGAGTCCAGATGATGCCTGTGGTTCCGGTTCACCCCGGAGCCCCAGAGCCGCCAGCCCCTCTCTTCATGGTCCCCTCCTAGCCCCCGGCCCAGACCTGCGGCAAGGGTCCATCTGGGAGAGGAACAGAAAGAAGGTGGAGTGAGGGGAAGGGATTCTTACTTCGTCCAATTCGGTTACCTCAGACAGAGGGACCGGCTCGCTGAAGATGTTGCCCGTGTCCTTCTCTTGGAGCTGCTCCAAGGTTTTTCGAAGGAGGATGAGGAAGGGGGTCAGCTGCATCTCCATGGCGATCTGTTGGACCTTGATCTGACAGACATAAAGGCCCCATCAGCCAGGCCCAGGCTGGTCCCTTGGTGGAGGGGTCGGGGGAGGTGGCTGTAGCTGGTGTGGGAACTCGCCTCCTCCCCACCCCACACTGCTGGGTGCACTTCACTACTGCGGACTTCCCCTTCCTTGAACTCCCAGCACCAGCGACCTGCATCACATCATTAAGGAGTCCATTCATAAAACTCTCCTGTGACATTCTGCTTCTGATGAGCCTGAGAGCAAACTGAGCTCCAGGTTACCTGACTCTCACATTAGCTTCGTCCCTTCCTGGCCAGGGGACGCATACTTTTCTGTGTTTTCTGTTTTCCTGCGTCTGTTTTCTCCACTATAATGAAAAGCTGGTCCGGGAACACTCACCGTCTCCCTTTTGAGCTTCTCCCGCTTGCGAATCAGCTCCACCAGCAGCCGTGCTCGCTCCAGGTCATGCCGAAGCCGCTGCCAGGACTTAAGCTGTTCTTTGAGGGCCCAGTTCTTATCCTCGGAATCTCTCTGAAGAGGCAAAAGGGGGATCAGGAGATGATAAGAGAGCCAGAGGCGATGAGAGCCCAGGAAACTTGGGTCAAGGGCAGGAAAAGCCAAAGTTGGGAGCACAGTGATCTCTTGGTAGGCTCCCCAACTAATGTGGAAACTCTGCAACCCACTGTGTCTGTTGAGCCCAGCAGAGTTGGTGCTTGGTATATGCTTGTTGTGAATGAAAGGATGAACACAAGGAATAATGCATGAAGGATAATGTATAAGGATTTCATCCTTAGCCTGATTTAAGGTCTAGTTTAAAGGAACAAACAGCCCAAGCCCTCAGGCATTGGAAACTGCAGTCACAAATCTGTTCTGGGGACCTCCCTGGTGGTCCAGTGGTTAAGACTCTGTGCTTCCAATGCAGGGAGCATGAGTTTGATCCCTTGTTGGGGAATTAAGATCCCACATGCTGGGTGGTACAGAAAAACAAGCCAATGATAAGTCTCTGTCCTCATCCCCCTGGCATTAGTTCCTAGAGCCCACAGGGAATCTGACATAGTACCCCGACTTGGTCACAGTTCCTCTGAGATTGCAGGTGGGTCTGTAGGCGACGCAGCAGCGGGACCCCATTCCGCGACTGCCTCTTCAGCGTCCAGTAGCTGTGCAGCCTCTGCATGAACTGGCTCTTCCTTTGGATGGTCAGGCGGTTTGTGATTTTACTGAGCCTGGGAAACAGGAGAGCAAAGAGAAGAAAAACCTCTTGGGCCTTGATTTTCTCACAGAGAACAGGGGACTTTGGCTCATGAGTTTCTGCGTGGGGCTGAATAGGGAATAAATCTATTGTCAAGAAGGCCTGTGACACTGGGCTAGGGCAAAGAAGAGCAAACACAGCTGGCTGTCAAGGGCACTTCAGGAGACAGGAAGCCAAGCTCCCAGTACTGACCCTGTTCACCTGTGGGGGGAGGTGAGCGAGCCTGGCCCCTAAGACTGCTTATTGTCACTGCAGCCCTGAGTGCTAACTGACCCTGGGACACCCAACTCGGGCCGAGCCTGCGAAGGTTTTAAGATGAAGTGCTACGACATAGCAGTCACCTACAGGAAACTGTCTAGGTAGCACAAGAGAAAGTGAAAAGTAACTGATGCTCACAGCCCTCGGTTGTGGCCGTATCACAATTCCTTGGGCATTTCCTTCCCTCTTTTCCATTCTGTTCTCCCTTCAGAGACAGGCTATTTCTTCCACTGTGGCTGGTGGCCACTCCACCGTCTTCCTAACTTCCACCACCCCAGCAGTAAGGCGGGCAGTTTCAAATACACCTGCCCAGTCGGCCAGAGAAGAGCTGAAGTCTCTGGCTCCTAACGTCAACGTCAGGTGACCTGCTAGAGCTAATCTCTTTTGATATGAAAAACAACCACCACCTCTAGGTAGCTCCTGACAGAAAGAAGAAAACCCAAGCCTGTCTCCACTCAGAGGACTGTCAGTCTCCAACAGGGCTTCTTCCCTCCCCGGCCCGCCCATCTGCTGCCCCCGTACCTGTGTGGTGGAATGCAAGGCACAGACACCACGGGGGCTGCTGCCCGTTTCTCTGCCAGGATCTTCCGCGCCTTCTTCATCTTGATCCGGGACTTGGCCTTGGCCTTCTTGACCTTCTCTGAGCTCCAACTCTTACCCTCATCTTCCTCCTCCTCCTCATCCTCCTCCCCTTCACTGTGAGACAGGGCAGGCAGGCGGCGTGCTGAACCTGGGGGTGTGTGGATGTCGCAGTAGGCGGTCTTGCGGACGCTGAAGGAGGTGCCATTGGCACCTGTCTCCCGCACAGGCTCCATCTTCATGTAAAGGCCAGCCTGTTGGGCACACGTCACGTGGAAGGCTGTGTAGCAGTTGGCCTTGTGGCACTGGATGCAGGCCCCTGAGCCCCGCTGTTTGCAAATGTAGCAGGTCAGCTTCCAGCGTGCGGGCGGGATGTGCTCAATGCTGTCAATGGGCTCCAGGAAGACCGTGTTGGCAAAGCAGACCTCGGGGATCCAGAGGGCACACACCACATGGGCCCAGCGCCCATCATCTGTCTGCTTGAAGGCACCACCCTTGTTGGGGCACAAGGCGCAGTCCACAGCGCGGGAGGGTGACTGCAGGCAGCGGCGGCACAGCCACTGGCCCTCAGGGATGTAGGGGACACCGTAGCACTCCTGGTGCACGGCCAGGTTGCACATGTCACAGAAAAGGATGACATTGCTGTTCTGGCACTCGCCGTCATTGCAGATACAGCACACAGCATCCTCGTCTACGAGCGCGTTGGGGTCGCCTTTATTGTGGCTCTCAAAGTACGACTCTTTCTCCAGCCGGTCCATTAGGTACTCAAAGATCTCCTGTGGAATGGGACTCACACCTTCCGTCTTCCGCCGCTCGTTCATGATATCTAGCCAGATGTAGTCCTCCTCATCCATGTCGTACTCAACTTCCTCATCCAGCTCCTCGGCCGACTTCTCAATATACCTGCAGTGCACACAGGCAGCTCGGCATCAGAAGGTTGAGATTTCCCTCCCTTAAAGAACGTGGGTTACATCTGCCGAGCACTCACCCTGTTCCAGGCCCGGGCCTTGATGTATATGTTGTCTCATTCTAGCCTCACCTTTACTCCAGGCACCGTTAAGGCCTGTCATCATTTTTGTTGTGCCGAAAAGGAAACCTAACGTTTGGGGCAGTGAATTCACCTGGCCCGGCTCTCTTGTGAGAAAGTGGAAGAGCTGGGATATGAACCCAGGTATGCCGAGCTCAAAGCTCATGTCCTAGCTGCCATACTGCCTCCTTTGAAATGCAGAGGCTCAACAAGATCCTGAAGGGAGAAGGATGGGGCGGCTAGGACCTGTGACTGCAGTGGTCTGGGTGATGGTACAAGGAGTCGGGGGCAGGAAGGTCCTCAGTTTTCACTTGCCAATTTACATTTAAGTTGTGTGAGTACCAGCTGGCTGTGTCCTGAATGGAGCTGCTGTAGATCTTCTCCCAGCTGGTGCCATAGCAGCTCAGGGCTCCCTCAGAATCTAGGTACTCTTTGCTCTCTGGAAAGCCTTGGGAGATAACAGTTAGGATAGCTAATATTTACTGAGCATTTACTATGACCGGGCATTGCACTAAGTTATCACAGTTATCTTCCCCACAGTCCTTGGGTCAATGTTCTTCTTGTCCTCACTTTATAGAGGAGGAAACCGGAAGCTTTGGGAAGTTAAGTGCCCCACACAGGTGGTTCACACAGCCAGCAAGTGGCAGAGCTAGGATTCAAACTCCACTCCACAGCACTCACTGGGCCTGCAGGACTGCAGCCAGGGGTGGCTCCAGGCGCTGGGGTACACAGCAGGCTCCCCACTCCCCTGCTCTGCGCACTCCAGATGGCCTGACTCTGCCGTCATAAAGCTGCAGGGAGCAACGACGGAAAAGAACATGGCTTTGGCCTCTAACACACCTGGAGTTAGGTCCTGGCTCTGTTACTGTGGGACATCCGGGACATCCCTGCCCTTTTCTAAACCTCAGTTTAATTGATTAGAGAATGAGGATAATACTCCTCATTTCCTAAGACATCAGGATTAAATGCAATTACAAAAATGAATGGAATAAATCAAGTGGTACATAGCAGGCCCTAGATAAATGTTAGCTCCCAGGCCTCCACTCTGCTCGCCATAAGGAAAAGGCAACTCTGCGAGCTGGAGCAGGCTAGACAAGCATAGGCTCTGGAGCTGTGCTCTGGGTGACAGCAGGCAAGTAAGCTAACCTCTCAGGGCCTTGGTTTCCACATCTGTAAAGTGGTGATACTAACCTGAACCTCTTTCACACAGCTGTTGGAAACATTAGATGAGTTAATGTAAAGTGCTCAGAACAGTACCTGGAGCAAGTACTCAATAATGTTAGCTTGATTATTGGCTTTGGTATAGCTCTGCCCGACCCTGTCTTGCATTGTAACTGTTTTTGTGTCCTAACTCCTCCACTGCTGGATAGAGGCAAGGACCATATCTGATTAACCACACAGAAAGAGGCAGTCAGTGTTGTTCATCTGAAGGACATTTTGAGAGTGGAAGGGAAGAGAGATTAAAGTGCTGTGTCTGTCAGAAGCAGCTTCTTGCTTAGTCCTTCACCTCGTCCCCAAGGTGACTGCAACATCTTCATCCTTGAAAAAGGGTGTGGCTCAGGGCTAGTGTGAACCATCTGGCCCATTCCAGGCCTTGGCACCAGCTCTCAGCCTTTTCTCTGCCATGACACACGTAACATTATGTGATGGTGCAGAGCACACTCCCACAGTACACTCAGATTACAGGCTGTGGCGCAGATAAAGTAGGCTGCGTGTCATGTGCGATTCCTGACACACCAGCTGACACTCCACCCTCCCTCTCCCCCTCAAGAAAGTTTATCAGATGCGAGCAAGAGTCAGTGGTATTGTTAGAGAGATGACCTCGAATCTTCTCACATTTACATAAAAAGTAAATAATTTCCCAAACAGGCAGTTCTGCTAACAGTGGTAACAAACTACATGCAACACACCTCCCGACAGATGGCAGGGGGCCAGCTGAGGGCCGCTGCCTGGAGAACAGATCTGATCCACAAGAGGGAAGAGCAACTCTGAGCGGAAGGAGGAAGAAAATGAACAGGAGCTAAGCTGTGCTGCCTAAGGGAGCAGAGAGTGCTGAAGAATCAGGAGGGGAGAGGGGTCTGTGTGTTGGGAGGTGGGCATGGCAGTGAGCACTAACAGATGAGAGAGACGGTGAAAAGCCAGAAGGACATGGAGCTGGGCTGGACAGATGGAAGGATGGAAGAGGGGAGGAAAAGACAGGCTGGCATGTGAACAGAGATGAGAGGAAAGAAAATCACTTGAGTTCCCCAAAATTTGCTTGTGAAGAACTGAGATTTAGTACTTACTATTGCACTTTTGGTAAAAACTACCTTTCACATAAAAACCTTTCTAAGAAGTCCTTGTCAGAGATCAGGCCTTCTGATTGGCTGATACCAAAGACAGCTTCTTAACTAACTCACCCAACTGCCCTCTTTGACTTGGATGCCAAGACTCTCAGAAACAAGTTTCACACTTGGTGTTTATTCCATCCTTTAGCTAGGGTTTCTGAATGTAGTTTCACTACCATACTTCCCCCACTCCATTTTTTTTACCTCATGTTGAAGGAATTTAGCCTTTCAACTGTGATTTTTATTAGGAGCCACTGTGACAAATTTTTGGAAGGAAGTGGGATACCAAGAAACAGTTAAATGAAATAAAAGGGTTCTTGGAGGAGTATGAAACATAGGTGATGAAAACACTGCTTCTGCATGCTAAAGGATGGGTGACAATAACTGGGTAAGTAACAGGGAAATTACCTATGCAGATTTACAAATAGCTTTTAGGACTCTATGAAATCAGTGTCCCTAGTCTTCTACATTGAGGCTAGCAGAGGAATATTATTTCTGCACTGCAGATGGGGTCACTAGAACACCAAAAGCCAGACGGATGCCTTTCCCAAGGTCACGGTGATGGAGTAGAAAGGGTCAAGAACAACAAATGGGCCCTTTGATACTGGAGAAATAGTGCCGCTTTGGAGTCAGAGGAATATGGGTTTGAATCCCAGTTCAGCTATCTACTGGCATGTGACTGCTCATGAGTCCGGTCCTTCTTCAGGACTGTGGTTTCCTCACCCGTGAACAATACCTACCTAAGCGAACTGTGAGAATAAGACAAGGGAATGGCTATAAAGCGCCCAGGGCAGGGTCCGGCATGTGGCAGTGTACGGCAAGTGCCATCACCGCTAGCTGGGGCACTTCTGCCTTGGCAGGGCCAGTGTGTTGCTGCTATGCTTTACCTCTGCCATTTACTATCTGTTGCTTGTCACCTATTTTTGGCTCCTAAGCCCTGCTTGACCAGTTTTCCAGAGTTGGGAGGTGGAGATGGCCTTACCGGTAATAGGAAGTCGGCCGGGGCGGGGCATCAGGGGTGTCCTGTTCCAACTCCCGGTAGACCACCTCTGGCAGCTTGGGAGTGGTGCTGGCAGAAGCATTGTGGTGGTGGTGATGGTTGGAATCCTTGCGTTTCTCCTTGTTCTTATGCTTGCTTGACTTGGGCGTAGCAGCGGGTGTCTCAGTGTTCTCCTTGTTGCTGCCGCTCTCAGGGGCCTCCTCGGGGGCCTCCTCATCCTCAGACACCACATCCAGGTTGTCAAAGATGCTGATGCGGTGCACGCGGCCGTGCAAGTCCACCTCCACCATGCGCTGGGCCTGTGCGTAACTCATCACCTCACGGCTGGGTGACTGGGATACCTCGGAGGGGCTGGGCGACTGCTTGTTGGCTGGGCGTGACTGGCGCCCCTTCTTCTTGTGCTTTCGGAGTGGAGTCTGCTGAGGGGGTGGTGGGTTGTCATGGTCATAGTGGTACAGGTGGTACTCAATGCCACTGTAACTCTTGTAGACCTTGCGGCAGGTCTCCACGGGGCACTCGTAGGGTGGCTTAGTGGCCCGCAAGTTGTGGCAGAAAGTCTTCACGTCGAAGTCCACCCCCATGCTGTCACATCTAGAATGCACAGATCAGTTAGCGTAGGCCCAGGCCACCCACTCCACGTGCCCAGCCCTCCCTCTCCCCAAGCGTCCTGGCCAGCCGACCTCTACAGCACATCCAAACGCCATCTCTTCCACACCACGGCCATAGTCTTGGCACTATTACCTCTTGTCTGATCATTCTGCCCTGTGTCTCAGTTCTAGCTTTATCTCACATAAATGTGTCCAGAATGATCTTTCTACCAAGTAGCATTAATCATATCAGTGTCTTGATTAGAAGCCTCCTGATGTTCCCCGCTGATTTCAGGATAATATCCACATTCCTTATGATGACAGTCAGGGTGTACCTTTCATTCTGTGGCCTTAGTCTTCCTTTCTAGATCCTTCTTTTCACCAGCCTTCGCTGTATTTCTGTCTAACCAGGGCAACTTGCCATTCCCTGAATGTTACCAGCTTTCATTCCCGCAAAATGATCTCTATTTAAAATGCCTTCCACCCTCCCTGATTAGTGAGCTCCTACTCATTCTTCAAAACATGGCTCAAATGTCACTCCTGTTATGATTTCTTCATCTCTCTCACAGAGAGCTGTGTTTCCACAGCATTTCATCCTCACCTCCACCACGGCACTCACCACACTGAAAGTTCTCTGTCTCCTTCCACTAGACTGGGAGCTGTACAGTGCAGACACGAGAGCCTACCCATTTCCATAGCCCCAGAACCTGGCATGCAATATTGTTTTGGCAAATGAATAAATAATTTGTTGAATGAATAGCTAAATGAGAGTATCACCAGATTAGGGAATGAGATGGATGAAAGCTAGTGTCAGCCCATGCGGAAGTTTGAATTGGTGGCCAAAATGATTTAGTCCTGGACTCCAGCAGAAATACATGGATGACTTTCTGAGGCCTCTGGGGTAAGCCTATGCCCTGGCCTTGGGAATGACACCAGGCCTTAAGAGTACAAACAGGAACATGGCAGTCCAGGCACACTCAGCTCCATGCTGGTCCTTAGAGCCCTCCCTTCCTTCTCTCCAGTGTTCCTGGGTGAGTGGAGACAGCAGATGGCACCAGCCCCCAGGAAGCCCAGCTTGGTCAGAGACTGCCCCAATTTCTCCAGGCCCAGCTGAATTCAACAATTTAACTATGGGCTGGGCACCATTCCAAGCAAAGCCACCCTGAGCTCCCTGACTAACAAGAGTTGTCTCCTGTGACTTAACCCAGCCAGTGAACTGCTCCAGCCTCTGTTCAAACCCCTGACTGCCATTTCATTAAAACTACTTAAACTGCCCTTACTTCCTACCTGTGGCTATCTTGAAACAAACCAATCAGAAGCACAAACTCTACTGTTTCAATGAGTCCCTGGTGAAGGCTGCAGCTCTGCTGCTCTAGCTCCCGAAGCAGCACAGAGCCCCTGGCAAATGTTCCGCTGGGACTCAGCAGCAGACGCGCAGAGAAAAGACACGGAAACTTAGACCCGAAAGTCCGTGGGGAGGGCCCCAGGCCCTGGGGTATGACGACCGCATCTGCCTAAGGCTCTCAGGGGGCTGGAGGAAGTAGGGGGCGGAGGCCAGAGCGATCAGGCCAGGCCCAGGCGGTGCCCGCAGCCCTCTCCCGGATGCGGCGACGTTTCCCCTTGATCAAAGTGTACAAGTTGAACAAGGCTCTCCTCCTGCCATTGACCCAGGCAGCCCCGAAGGGGTACACTGTTGCCCAGGGATGCGGGCGGGGGGCTAATGCACTGTCACTTCTTCCGGCTAGAGTGGCCCGTCCCTCGGGCCGGGCAGTTTCAGTGCGTGCCCCACGAAACTAGCCTACCCCTTCCCGGCTTGCCACTCCCGCCCTGGTCCCTGGCCCGCACTCACCGGCCACCTCGAGTCCGGGCTCATCGCCGGGGACGCCCGCCGGGGCTCCGACCCCACTTAGGGAGGCCGGCGGGGAAAGACGGGCCGGAGAGGGAGAGCCCCAATTCCGGAGACTGCAGACCACGCCACCCCGACCCCCTGCCGCCTCACGCTCTGGCCCGGCTCCCTGGGATTCCCGCGCTGACCCCTGCCGCTCCCAGTCCCGCTGTCGCCCGAGCGTCTCAATTCCGGCGGCCGCCGCCCCTTTCGAAGGCCCCTAGGTTGCCGGGTCTCGGGACCCGGCGCCGCCGGAACAATGGAGGCTCCCGGAGGCAGCACGGGGACGGCGGCGGCGGAGACGGTGGCGGCAAAGGCTGTGGCAGCAGCGGCGGCAGCAGCAGCGGCGACGGCGTCTGCGCAGGGTAAACTTGGCGCCGCGGCGCTGCCGAGCTGCACTTTCGCCACATATCCCCGCCCGCCCGCTGAGGCTCGAGAGGCCATTCTCTGGGATTCGGAGGGGCCTCTGGACACCTCACAGGGCTTTTCTAGTGCCTCCATCTTAGAGTTGAGTTTCTGGAGACAGAAGTTGCGCTACTTGGGATCCGGAGTGGCCGGGCCGTTTGTAGCGAATCTGCCGGCACGGACGCTGAGCGCGGGACTGGGCGTAAGGAGCCCGCCCTTCTCCCTTCCCCCTCTGCCTCTTCCCCCGCCTCCCTCCCTCCTGCTGGCGCCGCGGCTGCGGTAGGGACCTGGCCTTGGTCTCCGAGGAAGGCGGCGAGGCGGGGCCGGAGCCTCGGGGCGGGGCTGGGGGCAGGGCCAGGAGCAAGAGGGACGCGGACTGCAGCCTAAGGGGCACCGGGAGTTATGGGTAGGGGCGGGGCGGGGCTGGAAGAGAATAAACCAATCTATGGGGCGGGGTTTGCGGGGAGTGGGCGGGGCCATCTGTAAAGCAGGCCCCAGTAAGGAGAATAGGGACTGAACTGGGGGTGAGGGGTGGGACTAAACAGAAGAGGGGGGCCTCAGAAAAGAAAGGGCGGGGCTTTGGATGGACCTGGAACTTGGTGCTGGGTTGGGGAGAAGATAGAGCTGGGAAAAGCCACGCGAGGCTGAAGGGAAAGGGCGGGGCTTGGAAAAGGTAAAAGGGCAAGGCTGAGGGAAGGTGTGAATCTGAAAGTAGCGGCCTGATTGGGGGCGGTGCAAAATGCTGGTTGGGTGTAAAACGGACTGTGTAAGTAAAATAAGATTCAGATGCTGGAACCTTGTAGGTAGGCGGGGAATGGCTTCATGATGTCAAAACAGCTACTTTTAATGTGACTGGGTCTCTTAGTAGCCATGTGAACTTGGGCAATTTGTTAAATTCTTCCTACCTCATATTACTTATTTGTAAAGCTGAGCTCGACAATTCTATTGTCAGTTTTGGCGGTGGGGGGGGGGCTTTTGAGAACTTGGTGCCAAGAAGAGTCTATTTGTAAAACAGTAGTTGTTGCTTAGCCTGTCCAGTTTTGCCATCAACGGGGAGTGTGAAGGGGTCTGCCAGGGTTCTGGGGCAAAGCCCAAAACATCTGGAAACTTCTAATTTATCTTAGTATAAACCTTGCATTCAACCCACTATAAAGTATTTGTTTTCATATACAATGTCTTCCCCTAAACATCCTAATAAAATTGGCACTCCAGGAAGAGGTTTGCTGGTTAACATATTGGCATCTGGAGTCAAACTGTTGGGTTCTGTTTAATAAGTGACTTAACCTCTCTGAGCCTCAGATTCTTCATGTGCAAAAGATAAAACAGTGCTTATCTCACAGGATTGCTGTGAGGATTAAATAAGATGATGCATGTAAATTACTTATCAATGTCTGATATGTAGTGAATACTCAAAGAAAATATCAGCTTTTTAAATATCCTTACTCAAAAAACTTGAACTAGATGGATTAGAGCAGATTTATACAGAATCATCTTAAAGCTGACCCCTTTTGAGGTCAAGAATCCCTTTTAGAATCTGATAAAAGCTATGGGCCTCTCTCCTCAGGAGAAACGTACATACATAAAGATTCACTTGTTTCTTAAAGTATTTGAAGACCATCTAAAGAAGGCTTAGATGAATGTGAGGATGGGGGTGATCCCTAGCTGAAGCTGTCCTTGCTCCATCTTTCTCTTGGTGTGTCCCAGACCCTGGCAGCCCAGCCTCCCTCCCCAAGACCCATGAGACAGAAGTGGAGTAAAGATCAGTTTTATTATTGGCAAGAAGGCAGGGAGGTGGTGACAGTGCCAGGCCCTTCTGTGGGTGATGGGGCAGAGGGCTCGACCAGCCAATACTGATCCTCCAAGCTGCCCTCCCAATGAGGTCCAAGGTTCCAGGTGCCTCTGATTTTGAGCAGAAGCAATGGGTGAGCAGGCGGGCAGACTGCTGGGCATTGGTTAGGTGGGCTATTTAGGGATGCTCTGGTGATGGTGTCGGGCTGGGGGTGGCAGGGGGTGGCGGGCGAGGTTGGATGTCCCTGGTGCGCATATAGGACAGTAGCTGCTCTGGGATCTCCGCCAGCACATCCTTGGCAAGTCGGGCCATGCTCAGCACCTGGTTCCCCGACCGGTCGACATAGTCTCGGAATGGGACAAACTGCGACAGGCACGATCAGATATGGGTGGCCAGGAGAGAGAGGACTGGGGAAGGTGGCAGGAAGGAGGCTTCCTCTTTGACCCCTAACATCTCTAAGGATCACTCTCTTTCCCACTTTATCTAGAGGAACTTTCTACATTTGCTTTCTCCCCACCCACTTTTTTTCCACCTTCTATTCACCCTTAAACCACTCTAATTTGGCTTCATGCAGTCTACTGAAACTGCTCTTGCTAACGAAGTCAACCGCACCATGTTCCCCAATCAGTCCAGCAGGCAATGATTGTCACACATCTTGCTGACTCCCCTTGAGCTTTCCATTACATTTCACCATAAATTCCTGAACACTTCCCACTCTTGACACATTACATTCTTCTAGATTTTCTCTACCTTTCTGGATGCCTCCCTGAACCAACCCCAATGCTCTAGGTCTGCCTAATCTCTAAATCTGATGCCTTTTCTTTCTTAATTCTCTTCCTGGGTGATTTCCTACACTTTCAACATATTTACAAACTGTTCCCTGGATTAAGAGGTACAAACTACTTAATATAGACAAAATAAATAAGAAACAAGGATAAATTGTGTAGCTTTTATCTTGTAATAACTTTAAATGGAGTATAAACTAAAAGCACTGAATCACTATTCTACATAACTGAAATTAACACAGTATTGTAAAGCAACTGTACTTCAATTAAAAAAAAAAAGACCCTGTTCCCTGATAACTTCTACATTTATACATCCATCCCTACCTTCTTGTCTTTAAGGCCCAGAGTCACAGCTTAGTTGCCCATATCACATCCCCTTTCATTTGTCTTGGATAACTCAAGCCCAGTGTGTTTACAGCTGAATTCTAGGCTTTTCTGCCAAATCTGCTCCTTCTCCAGCCTTTCCTTTCCCAGTAAGTGAGACTATCACTCACCCAGGGGCTCAGTCTAGGAAACTAAGAATCATTCTTGAAGCCCCCCTGACTCCCTGTCACCATTTAATCAAATATTCAATTCTCATACATTTTTTCTTAAATTGTCTTTTGAACCTGTTTCTCCTCTCCATCCTCACTGCTCCTATTCCCACCCAAATCCCTCGACTGCTTCGAAGCTTCCTCACTAACAGATCTTCCTGCCTTCTCCCTCGTCCTGCTGCAGTCCACGTTCCTGCAGCCTCTCTGCATGTCTCAAATGTGAGACTGACCATCTCACTTCTCTATCTAAAATCCTTCAAGAGCTTTCTAATTATTTCAGAACAAAGTCCCAAACTTCACCATGACTGGCAGGGCCTTGCCTTCCTTTTCCACTCACTGCTGTGATCCTGCCACTCAGGCCTCTTGCCTTCTCCATGATTGGGCCAGTTATTTCGAACCTAAGGGCCTTCTCACCTGCTGCTTCTCTGAGGCTTGTTATGCTTATACCTTGCTTTAGATTTCAGTTCCAATGTCATTTCCTCATAGTAGCCTTCCCTGACAATCCTGCCTAATCAGATCCCGGTTACAGACTCTTACTGTGGCATTTGCTGTCCCTCTGGAGCACTTAGCACAATCTAATGAACTGTGCCATTATTACTGGCTGCCTCCACTAGAGGGCAGGTGCCTTGGGGATCTCTTACACTACGAATCCACCATGGCTGTAGCAACCTGCCTGTTTCTCAAAAAGATTTTGTTGAATGAATGTAGGAAGGCTGAAAGAGTGAAGGGAAGAAAGGTAAGTGATTAAGAAGGCAGTAAAGGGACTGCCCTGGTGGCCCAGTGGTTAAGAACCCACCTGCCAATGCAGGGGACACAGGTTCAATCCCTGGTCCAGGAACAGCCCACAGGCCTCAAGGCGCCTAAGACCTCGCGTCACAACTACTGAACCTATGGTCTAGAGGCCACGGGTCACAGAGCCCAACCTCCGCAACAAGAGAAGTTCACACACCTCAACTAGAGAGTAGCCTCCACTCCCATAAATTTGAGAAAGCCCTGCATGCAGCAATGAAGACCCAGCAGAGCCAATAAATAAATAAAAATTGAAAAAAAAAAGAAAGGAAGGCAGTAAAGGGGAATGGCTGCTAACTTAGCCCCTCCTTCCCACCATGCCTTTTGACACCATGACTTTCTTTTGTCCCCATGATATCAGGTCTACCTGAACGATGTCGCGCTCAGCATAGCGTCCCCTAGAGGACACGCGCACATCATCACCATCCAGCTCTTCCATAGCTGCAGAAAAGACACCCCTCAGCTGATTGGCCTTTCCCACAACAACCCATGCTACCCTCTGCCTCTTAGCTCCCCTTTGGAGTCATCAAGAGACCACCTAATGGTTGTATCAAAGTCCTACAGATATTAGGCATTGTAATGGAGTTATTATTTCCTCCCAGCATTCCATCATCCTAGGAGCCCCAGGAGGGAAGTATTTGTATCAACAACCTCGGTTATAATGAGGAAATGGGTTCAGAGGAGGTCTGACTTGGCCAAGGTCTGACACAGGCATCCATCCTATCTTCTCTATGAGACAGGCCTGGGTTCCCAGATCCTCCTCTATTTTCCCCAGTTCTTGGTCCCACTCATGAAAACCCCCCATCTTACTCACCTTCAAACATGGCCGGTCCCACACCGACAATAATGATAGACATGGGCAGTGATGAGGCCTGTGAGGGGAAAGAGGGTAACTGGTTGGGGTGAGCAGCCATAACAAGGGAAGTGACTGTTGGGGGACAGTTCTCTCTGTGTGTGATATTTCGGCACATCTTACAAGCAGAGGCACTGATTTCTCTTTGTGCCAGACTGTCTTTTCAAGTATGTCTGCATATGTAACAGCCTTGAAAGATACAGGGTCTTCCTATACACAGCAAAGGGCGGGTTTGTTTACGTCTAGTATAATAAAATGTCTCCTGCTGGAACAAAGGGCAGGCATGCTCACTGCCCATGATAAAAGGCTCAGGCTTTCTACACTCAGGGTTTCTGTTTCATAATACAAACCACTGGTCATCTGGCCCTTGGCACATTATCTTCTGGGAAGTGGGACTTAGTGAATCAGAGCCAATGCTGATAGTTGAGCTGTTGCTATTGCTGGGAATAGTGGCATGTGGAATCTCAATTCCTCGACCAGGGATTGAACTCATGCCCCCTGCAGTGGAAGTGTTGAGTCTTAACCACTGGACTG